TATTCCCCAGAAAACAAATTAAAGGGCCGGCGCGGTCACGCTTCCCTCCCGTCGTCTAATTAAAAATCGTGCCGCCGTTTACTTCTCATTAATTTTAAATGTCACGGCGACTCAATACATCGATTGCGGATATTCAGACGCACGCCGCCTGTTGCGCAACAGATGGGGGCTCGCCTCCGTGATGCCATTCACCGAAACGCGTCCCGTGTTCAACATGGCGTCACGTAAACTGTTAATAGATATTTATGCGTCAATCGGCGGCTGCTCATGAGACTAACGCGGCGCGCGCGTGCGTTTGATGAAAGGCGCCGCCGGGGCCGTGTTGGTGAGGTTTCTGCGTGTTAAAAATGGTAATTTACTGGCGCGGAACGGCGCCGGAACTTTCTGTGACGCTGGAGTGAGACGTCCGTGTCAGCAAGATGATGTTTAAAGGGGACCTGTCATAAGGCTGGGATACAAGACCTTGACTTAAAGGGGACCTGTCATAAGGCTGGGATACAAGACCTTGACTTAAAGGGGACCTGTCATAAGGCTGGGATACAAGACCTTGACTTAAAGGGGACCTGTCATAAGGCTGGGATACAAGACCTTGACTTAAAGGGGACCTGTCATAAGGCTGGGATACAAGACCTTGACTTAAAGGGGACCTGTCATAAGGCTGGGATACAAGACCTTGACTTAAAGGGGACCTGTCATAAGGCTGGGATACAAGACCTTGACTTAAAGGGGACCTGTCATAAGGCTGGGATACAAGACCTTGACTTAAAGGGGACCTGTCATAAGGCTGGGATACAAGACCTTGACTTAAAGGGGACCTGTCATAAGGCTGGGATACAAGACCTTGACTTAAAGGGGACCTGTCATAAGGCTGGGATACAAGACCTTGACTTAAAGGGGACCTGTCATAAGGCTGGGATACAAGACCTTGACTTAAAGGGGACCTGTCATAAGGCTGGGATACAAGACCTTGACTTAAAGGGGACCTGTCATAAGGCTGGGATACAAGACCTTGACTTAAAGGGGACCTGTCATAAGGCTGGGATACAAGACCTTGACTTAAAGGGGACCTGTCATAAGGCTGGGATACAAGACCTTGACTTAAAGGGGACCTGTCATAAGGCTGGGATACAAGACCTTGACTTAAAGGGGACCTGTCATAAGGCTGGGATACAAGACCTTGACTTAAAGGGGACCTGTCATAAGGCTGGGATACAAGACCTTGACTTAAAGGGGACCTGTCATAAGGCTGGGATACAAGACCTTGACTTAAAGGGGACCTGTCATAAGGCTGGGATACAAGACCTTGACTTAAAGGGGACCTGTCATAAGGCTGGGATACAAGACCTTGACTTAAAGGGGACCTGTCATAAGGCCGGGATACAAGATCTGGTCTTAAAGGGGACCTGTCATAATCCCGGGATACAAGACCTTGTCTTAAAGGGGACATGTCATAAGGCCGGGATACAAGACCTTGTCTTAAAGGGGACCTGTCATAAGGCCGGGATACAAGACCTTGTCTTAAAGGGGACCTATCATTAGGATGTGATACAAGACCTTGTCTTAAAGGGGACCTGTCATTAGGATGTGATCCAAGACCTTGTCTTAAAGGGGACCTATCAATAGGATGTGATACAAGACCTGAAGGACCAACCGTCCATAACAACCATGAAAGCTAATTGGCTGCTGTAGGCCGCCGTGACTGGTTCTTTCTTCATTCTTAAAGGAGAAGTATGGGGGGAGGGGCTTCTCACTCACCTCATAGTTCTAGCCGACCTGTGACAATGAGACTGTCACAGGTCGGCTCAGTAGATCGGGAGGTGAGCGAACACATACCGGCGTTCCCTCACCTCTCGATCCTGTCACGGCTCTCTGCCGTGACAGGGGAGGGGGCTGGATTCCCCCCTCCCCGATCTGCCAGCGCTGACTGGCGGAACGGACGGGGGAGGGGGCGGGTACAGCTGGCTCTGCCTCTAGATAGGCAGAGCCAGCTGTCACTCACGCAGCTGGGCGGATCCCGACGTCTAAGTCGGGATCCGCTCCGGCTGAGGCGTCTCAGTATATAGGGAGCTGTAACTCGCGGTATACTGAGCTTAGGGTGACGGGAGGTCGCTAGTTTGTGTCCTCTCGTTACCCTAAGGAGAACTATGGGGAAAAGCCCTGACCCCATAGTTCTCCTTTAATAGAGCTGGATTGGAAATCATGGGGCCCCGTAAAGCCTACCTGACAGGGGCCCCGTAAAGCCTACCTGACGGGCCCCCCCTCCCCCCACATTTCTATTGGATGAGTTTGGGCAATGACATCGGCTTAGTGTCTCATATCAAGTCATTCTTAAAGACTGACACTGCTTTTATTTTGCTGTCGGTACTCGCCGATATCGAGTACCGATACGGGTGTTTGCGCTGGCACGCTGGCAATAACATGCAGCTTGGATTCCTGATTGCCCGGGAAGCCGGCTCCATGTTTTTTGGTCGGCTCGATTGTGGATGCCTGGGAAACCCGGCTTCCCAGCCAGTCGGCATCTAGTCGGCTTCCCGGCCAATCAGGCCAAGTAATGACCCGGCTCCCTGATTGGCCGCGAAGCCGACTCCATCCTGATTGGCTGGAAAGCCAGCTTTGCAGCCAATCAGCATGGAGTTGGCTGTTCGGCCGGCTCGATGCTGGTTGGCTGGGAGGTCGGCTTCCAGGCTAATCGGCAAGGACCTGGCTGTTCGGGTGGTTTGATGCTGATTGGTCGGGAATCCGGCTTCCCAGCCAATCAGGAAGCTGGGAGGCGGGTCATTACTCCTGATTGCCCAGGAAGTTGGCTCCATGTTCCCCTACGGCACTGCCGGTCAGAGGAGACCTTTTCTGACCGGAAGTTCCGGCATCAGAGCATTTGGACGATACCGAGTACCGATACCGGTGTTTGAGCTGGCATGAGGCTAGCAATAACATGTCGCCCGGCTTCCTGATTGCCCGGGAAGCCGGCTCCATGTTGTTTGGCTGGCTCGATTGTGGATGCCTGGGAAAACTGCTTCCCAGCCAATCAGCGTCTGGCCGGGAAGCCGACTCCATGATGATTGGCTGGAAAGCTGGCTTCCCAGCCAATCGGGAAACTGGGAGGCGGGTCATTACTCCTCATTTCCTCAGGAAGCCAGCTCCATGTTCCCCCTACGGCACTGCCAGTCAGAGGAAAACTTTCTCTGGTATCGGGGAAGATATCGGAGCATTTGGGCGAGTACTCGGTATCGGTACCGGTGCATCCCTAATACAATGTATACAAGTGATGATGTATTGATGAATACAAAGTTGCATTGTTTGGTGTCTGTGACCTTTGCCCCGGAGTTCAGCTTTAACATGTTGGTTTACATTGTCAGTCACATTGTCTCCCTTTAATCCTATGACCAGAAACCCGTCCGTCTCGGCCATCCGCCTCCTCCTCCTCGCAGATCCGCTCGGCGTTCCCCCTTGCCGGAACAGTCCATCTGTTGACTTGACAAACGTCTGAGCATTCTGAGGAATCCGGCCCTTGATTGGTGCTAATTGACTTGGCTCTAATTGGCTGCTCAGTCACCTTCTCACCGAGCCAATCGCGCCCGCCCCGCGTCTCTTTCGCGGGCAGATGTAGCGGAAGGAAGCGCGCCCGGTCCCCTGGGTTATCATTATGTACAGCGTTCAAACAATATTTATACTTTGCATCATTCCATCCCGGATCTGGAAATGTCAGGGAGAGAAATGCGCTGACATCTTGCTTGATATCCGCGGTTTTATCCCCAATCCGCAAGACAACAATTCATAGCGCTCGCAAGTTCTGCAAATACCCAAGGAGGCTTTACCAGACAGAGCCGTGTGTAAAGTGGACTGCATGGATAAATTCCCGACAGGACACCGTACACGGCAACAGTATCATTCTGTTATATGTGGGGGTATAAGTAGCGAGCAGACCCTGGCCGGGTATTTATAAAGACAATACTGGCTGCCGAACCCAGACTGGGTATTTATAAAGACAATACTGGCTGCCGAACCCTGACCAGGTATTTATAAAGATATAACTGGCTGGCAAACGCTGCCTGGGTATTTATAAATATATAGCTGGCGAGCAAACCCTGACTGGGTATTTATAAAGATATAATTAGCTACCAAACACTGACTGTGTATTTATAAAGATAGAAGTGGCTACCAAACCCTGACCTGGTATTTATAAAGATATTACTGGCTGGCAAACCCTCACCTGGTATTTATAAAGCGATAAGTGGATACCAAACCCTAACTGGGTATTTATAATGATATAACTGGCAAGCAAATCCTGACCAGATATTTATACAGATATAAATACCCAGTTAGGATTTGCTCGCCAGTTATAAGTATATTACTGGCTACTGAACCCAGACTGGGTATTTATAAAGATGTCACTGGCTACCAAACACAGATTGGGTATTTATAAAGATATAACTGGCTACCAAACCCTAACTGGGTATTTATAAAGATATAATTGGCGCGCAAACACTGACCAGGTATTTATAAAGATATTACTGGCTACCAAACCCTAACTGGGTATTTATAGAGATATTACTGGCTACCAAATTCTAACTGGGTATTTATAAAGATATAATTGGCGAGCAAACACTGACTGGGTATTTATAAAGATATTACTGGCTACCAAACCCTGACTGGGTATTTATAAAGATAATACTGGCTACCAAACCCTAACTGGGTATTTATAAAGATATTACTGGCTACCAAACACTGACAGGGTATTTATAAAGCTATATTTGGCGTCCGGACCCAGACTGGGAATTTATAAAGATGTAACTGGCTACCAAACCCTAACAGGGAATGTATAAAGATAGAAGTGGCTACCAACCCTGACACTTTGAAAAGTTACAGGCATAACATCTACAGTGTAACTGCAAGACTGGTAGGAAAGGGCTTCAGTACAAGTGCCACCACACTAAAGGTGCAGTTACATTTTAAGAAGTCTTCCCTCTGTGCATCATGGGTACAAACTAGTCGAACATTTAAAGGCCACTCCCACCCAGAACAGGTGATCTTGCTGTCTGGGTGGGTTAAATCATCTGCTGGATTTTGGTGTCTCAGAGACTCCAGAGGTGAGAATTTCTTGCGGTATTTGGCGTTAACGGCATCCATATAAACTGGTCTTTATGCCGGATTCACCGTTACTATAAGACCGGTCTTCTCTGTCTGTGTGTGGCTCCCATAGACTGCTAATGTGCAGCAGTTAGAATGATCTTTCTCAACCTTCTCACCTCAGAGGAACCCTTGGAATAACTTTCAATTCTCAGGGAACAAGCGCTTAAAATTATAATATCTACAGCTCACGGTACATAAGCATGATCAGCAGGCTGGAGATATAATTATAAAAACCAGACTCTGTATAATTATGAGATTAGAATACAAATAGTGGCAAGAAATGAGAAGCAGAGAGTGATAATGTAATGTCTCCTAAGATACGTGGTCAATGGAGAAATTCCCCCATCATTGATGGCCAGTGGAGACATTCCCCCATCATTGATGGCCAGTGGAGACATTCCCCCATCATTGATGGCCAGTGGAGACATTCCCCCATCATTGATGGCCAGTGGAGACATTCCCCCATCATTGATGGCCAGTGGAGACATTCCCCCATCTTTGATGGCCAATGGAGACATTCCCCCATCATTGATGGCCAGTGGAGACATTCCCCTCATCATTGATGGCCAGTGGAGAAATTCTCCCATCATTGATGGCCAGTGGAGACATTCCCCCATCATTGATGGCCAGTGGAGACATTCCCCCATCATTGATGGCCAATGGAGACATTCCCCTCATCATTGATGGCCAATGGAGACATTCCCCTCATCATTGATGGCCAATGGAGACATTCCCCTCATCATTGATGGCCAATGGAGACATTCCCCTCATCATTGATGGCCAATGGAGACATTCCCCTCATTGATGGCCAATGGAGACATTCCCCTCATTGATGGCCAATGGAGACATTCCCCTCATCATTGATGGCCAATGGAGACATTCCCCTCATCATTGATGGCCAATGGAGACATTCCCCTCATCATTGATGGCCAGTGGAGACATTCCCCCATCATTGATGGCCAGTGGAGACATTCCCCCATCATCGATGGCCAATGAAGACATTCCCCCATCATTGATGGCCAATGGAGAAATGCCCCCTTCAATGATGGCCTGTGGGGCAATCCCTAGAGGGACCAGAGACACCCAGCATTGGTGGACAGTTGAAGAATATCCTTTACAGTATTGACCAATTGAAAAGGCCCTCCCTTACATTGGTGGACAGTTGAATAATCTCCTTTGCAGTACTAGTCGGTCAAGAAGGCCCTCCCCTATAATAACCTTACATTATAGGTTAGTCAAGGAACCCCTAACAACTTCTAGAAGAACCCCGGGATACCATTGAACCTTGTTTGAGAAAGGATGATTGAGAAGGTCCAGAGGAATTGGATGAGTCATATAATTCATCATAATTCCTCTTGGATCGAAAATGTGAAACACTCAACCAAGTTCACCTAAACTGCTTCAAAATAACATTTGTGATGCGTTTCCTTGGTCACCTTAAAAATGTTCTTGTCCTTACGTGAAATATCCAATTTATGAATGTACATCCACTGGAAGCCAAAGTGTCTAATCATTCATTCTTTCCCCGTCTACCAGGATTCACCCTCGGGAGCACTTTAAGGAGAAGTATGCTGTGGATGAGGTCCACTACACCTGTGATGTAAGTACTCCGAGTCCCATCTTCTGCTTGTTTTTGTACTTCTCTTTGGGCTACTGGGAATAATTCTGCGTCTTCTGAAGGTCTACCCGAAGCAGAGCAGGAGCATTTTTGCCAATTGTTCCCTGGGACAAATTGATATAAATTAAAACTGTCAGTCACCGCTCCCTGCAAGGATTCCCCCCTCCCCTCTCCGATCCTCCAGCGCTGACTGGAGGAACGGACGGGGGAGAAGGCGGGCACAGCTGGCTCTTCCTCTAGATAGGCAGAGCCAGCTGTCAATCATGCAGCTGGGTGGATCTCGACAGTATTTTCGGGATCTGTCCCGGCTGCAGCACTCTCAGTATATAGCGGGCAATAGCCTGCTGTATACTGAGCTTTGGGTCACAGGAGGACATTTGTATATGTCCCCCCATGACCCTGAAGATAGTGTGACCCTAAAGATAGTGTGATAAAAAGTTTACCCCATAGTTCTCATTTAAGGCTGTCAGTCTCCAGTTCAAAGTCGGTACTCGGCTGTACAGAGCAGGCAGGGAGAGGGAGAAAACGCAGCAGAAGCTGTTTGCCTTTAAACTGTCACTCTCTAATTGAGTCTCAATATGGACCCCATAAGCCCTTCTAAACATATCACACCGGGAGGAGAGCGGATCCAAACGTTCCCTATGTTTACCTTAATGTGAGGTGTTTGTATTTCTCTGTAGTCAGAATCCAGAGAGCACCTCGCAGGGTCACTGAGATTGTACTACCTGCTGCCAGAGTCCAGAAATCACCTCACAGGGTCACTGCCTTTGTACTTCCCGGAGCCTGCGCTGTGTAACTTGCTCTTTCTACTTCCTGTGCCACCGATTACAATCAAACTTCTCTGGCAGATTGCTGTTCAAATACAAGCGATCCGGCGTCTATACAGGCGCTGGATCGCTTGTACGATGCGGCACTGCGTCCCCCTCCAACCATCCCAGCCTGTGTGTGTTGTAAAGTAGTCACCGCTCCAAGCTCACTCCCAGGATGGACTACAATCTCATGTTTAGTTAATTTGTATTGAGATCGTAGTCCATCCCGGGGGCGGAGCTTGGATCGGTGACTACTATACAACACACACAGGGATCATGGGGAACAAAAGTAGCCCCCCCTCCAGAAGGAAGGACAGTGTCCGCACCAATTCAGAGATGATTGGAGGATCTGCTGCCGAGTGATACACAAATAAGATACATTGTTGAAGGTTAAGGGATTTTAAGATTCATCTCCTGAGTTTACTGTCACTTGAATTCTCCATTTTTGGGTTCCTCCATTTCCCCCCGAGCCTTCCCCTTTCCAATACCTCTAGCTGGTCTCTCTGGCGGATGGAGGGTCGGGGGTCGGGGTTGGCTGAACATCGCTGTCCTGGTGGAAACCAATTACACCAAATTAATTTCAGGCCAAATCGGAATTCAATACTCCCCATGAAACATTCGTCATCCCCGTGTCCCCCCTCCCCCGGTGACACTTCTACTCCCATTTATTGAATTTGGATTTGCTTAAATGAAATGGGTGTAATTAGGTTATTCCGGGGAGCGCCGAGGTTTACTTACTTTGTATCGTTTATATCCTTTTATGAGCTCAAATTACTTTTATCATTCGGCTGCTGTAACCCTCCGAGGAAGCCGATTGGTCAGAGAAACGTGTTGCAGATATGATTCAGGGGGAAGGCTCGCACACCCGGGAACATCTCCTCCTTGTCTTTATACTGGTGAATCTGTTATACGTGGCTATATAACTGGCACCCACAGCCGGTATTTATAAAGATATAACTGGTTATATATCTATAATATGTTTTCCTGGACCTGTCAGTAACATTAACAGAAATTCCTCCTGAAGTTCACAATATACATCGACAGTATCAGTTTTCATTGAAACCCCGTCTCCCCTCCCCCAGTGATCAGTCTGCTGCAGGCAGGAAGAATAATTTCCTCAGTCTTCCCTCCCCCAGTGATCAGTCTGCTGCAGGCAGGAAGAATAATTTCCTCAGTCTTCCCTCCCCCAGTGATCAGTCTGCTGCAGGCAGGAAGAATAATTTCCTCAGTCTTCCCTCCCCCAGTGATCAGTCTGTTGAAGGCATTTCCTCAGTCTCGTCTCCCCCAGTGATCAGTCTGCTGAAGGCATTTCCTCAGTCTCCCCTCCCCCAGTGATCAGGCTGCTGCAGGCAGGGAGAAGCATTCCCTAAGTTTCCCCTCCCCCAGTGATCAGGCTGCTGCAGGCAGGAAGAAGCATTCCCTAAGTTTCCCCTCCCCCAGTGATCAGTCTGTTGAAGGCATTTCCTCAGTCTCCCCTCCCCCCAGTGATCAGTCTGCTGCAGGCAGGAGGAAGCATTTCCTCAGTCTTCCCTCCCCTCAGTGATCAGTCTGCTGCAGGCAGGAGGAAGCATTTCCTCAGTCTTCCCTCCCCTCAGTGATCGGTCTGCAACATTGTAACTTTGTAGCAAGCCACAAGGAGAGAGTCTGAAGCAGGGGCTGATCTGTGTCAGACTTTGGGGAACACAGCGACAAACTGGACAGGCAGGGTTCACCCCGGAGATGGCACCTTTTGAAAGGCAAGTCTCCAGTGGCATATTTCCTTCCTCTCTAGTTCATTAAGGAATTGGTAAGTGCTTCTGCTCTGCTATACCGATACAAGATCAACGCAAACAATGCGTTCGGCTCGATTCACAAAGATAATGCGCTCGAATAAGAATCTTTATTGTCAGAAAGTGTCGGTTATTTTCAGCGGAGCCCAATGGGATTAGGACGTTACAGTCACATGACTAAAATACAGATCCTTATCCTCATGGTAAGTGCTGTGCGTACTCCCGAGGCTCAGCTCACAAAGCCGTTACCATGAGGATAAGGATCTGTATTTTAGTCATGTGACTGTAATGTCCTAATCCCATTGGGCTCCGCTGAAAATAACCGACACTTATTTGCTGATGAAGATTCTGATCCTGGTGGGTTATCTGTGTGAATGGAGCCCGTTGCGTTGGTTGTTATTAGTCGGTAGGTCGCCTTCAGTGGTCAGTTTAGGTCGGGGTCATGGGAAGGTCATGTGTGTCGGCGTCCAGTAATATTTCCTCTTTCTTTCCCCCAGATTGCAAAAGTCCTCACTGCAAAGAACCCGTCGGTGCTGCTCACTCTGGTAAGATAAGACTCGTGTCACAGCCGTGATTGGCTTCTGTCTCGGGTTCCAAAGGTCCTGATTGGTCTTCATTTGTGAGCTCGACAAAGAAAGATTAAAACTGGCCATAAACCGGTAGAATTCTGTTCATTTTCGGAACATTCATTCGGTTTTCTAATAGTTAATGAGATCAAATCGATCGTTTTCAATTGCAGTATCGAAAAAAATTGCAGGAGCAGCATGAAAAAAAAATCTACCAGGGAATGTGGTTTTCGTTCCCATTTAGGGACAGCCGTCCCTGGGGAGGAAAGCGCTAGATGGTGCCGGATGTCCTTCAGCCAGGAAATGAGGCAGGCTCTATCTGACTTGCTGCAGCTGCTAATTCACTGACGGGCAAGATGGAGGTCAGATAGGAGACTGAAGGGAAGGACGGAGGTCAGATAGGAGACTGAAGGGAAGGACGGAGGTCAGATAGAAGACTGAAGGGGAGGACGGAGGTCAGATAGAAGACTGATGGGAAGGACGGAGGTCAGATACAAGACTGATGGGAAGGACGGAGGTCAGATAGAAGACTGAAGGGAAGGACGGAGGTCAGATAGAAGACTGAAGGGAAGGACGGAGGTCAGATAGAAGACTGAAGGGAAGGACGGAGGTCAGATACAAGACTGAAGGGAAGGACGGAGGTCAGATAGAAGACTGAAGGGAAGGACAGAGGTAATTTGCCCGCCCCCCAGTCTGGGATTTTGCAGTAAAGGACCATTAGCAGGCTGATTATCTCATCCCTTTGCTCTCTCCTTCTGTCAGCATGCTTCTTGTCTGTATATTTGCATGCCGCACACCTGACCGGCTCCGTGTTCCGCCAATACCTTCCCCAATATCAGTTCCCTTTAAATAAAAGGCAACCTGCCTCCACGGATCCCGTTCCCATTACCTGATTGCACTTTTCATTCAGTGTAATGGTATTAATGATTGGTGAAGTTTCCCGCGGCCGGCACTGCCGGCGTCCTCGCAGGTCACTCGCGGGATTTCTCTTTTTCTCAGCGACTTGTGAGGTGAACGTGACATTTTAATGCATCTCATTAAAGCTGCTTTATTGCTCAGGCTTTGATGAGAGTGACCGCCGGCGCTCGGGGAAGTCGGCCGCCACACTCTGCTCCGGCGCTGTCACAGCTCCTAATGAAAGTGATCCCCCAGTCATCAGTCTGCTTCAGGCAGGAGGAAGCAAATCCTCAGTCTCCCCTCCCCCAGCGATCAGGCTACTGCAGGCAGGAGGAAGCATATCCTCAGTCTCCCCTCCCCCAGCGATCAGGCTGCTGCAGGCAGGAGGAAGCATATCCTCAGTCTCCCCTCCCCCAGTCATCAGTCTGCTTCAGGCAGGAGGAAGCAATTCCTCAGTCTCCCCTCCCCCCAGTGAGAAGCTCCCAGTGTGCAGTGAGATCAGGAAAGGAGGCGGTACAACTGTGCAAGACTGAAGAACAGGAAATGAAGGGAAATCTTCCCAAGGAGACTCAGACGGGTCTAACAATGGCTGTCCTATCAACTGCCTGACTGCATGCTGCCCCCCAGCTCCTGAGCCTGCACAGCAGCATCTAATAACACAGCCCCTTTATTTGTAACTACCAGGTCCCGTGTCTCCATATTGTGGGATGTCCTCCTGGTGTATGTTAGGAATGAAGTGCTGTGTCACCCATTTAGTCTTTTGATCAGTTCTGACCCAGACACCGGTCGGTATTTGGATCTCTGAGCTGTGTTTGGACACATCGGTCTGTAAATCCGGGTCTTGCAGCATTTCTTTATAGATCATGTCCTTGGGCGTCCCCCCTCCCCCCTTAGCGATATGACGCGGTCATGTGTTCTCTTTAAGTCACTCTGGTCGCCCGCTGTGATATTACTCGGCGGGCAGGTTGCGGACACATGTCAGAGATGAGCGGCGGGTGATAATAAAGGCCGCTGTCGGCTCTCGGCAATACAAGATGGGATTCTAACACATATATGTCTTCACGTTATTGCCGGCGGCCGCGGCGGGGCCCCATTTGCTTGCGCGGCACGCTCCTAGACAATCCCTGATAGCGTTTTATTCCAACACTGAGGTGTCATTGGATGGAGTTTGATCTGTTCTGAGCGTGTGTGTGCATGATCCTGGCAGGCTTATACGATGATGTGATATAGAAACAGCGGGAGATCTCTGAGCGCGCCGCTCCTCAGCCGAGGTGTTCCAGGGAGGGAGCCGTCCACGGTGCTGAAACTCATCCCAGAGAGACATATCAGAGGCCTTCCTTCTGGGCTGGGGGGGCCATTAAAGGAGAAGTATGAGAGGAGTGCTTTTCACTCACCTCATAGTTCTAGCCGAACCAGACATAATTGTCGGGATCCGCTTCAGCTGCGGCGTCTCAGTATACCGCGAGCTGTAGCTCCCTATATGCTGAGCTTAGGGTGGCGGGAGGACGCTAGTTTGTGTCCTCTCGTTACCCTAAGGAGAACTATGGGGAAAAGCCCTGACCCCATAGTTCTCCTTTAAAGGACCGGCTCCCGCTGGCAGGAAGGGGTTAATCCTCCATGACTTGCTTTTCTAACTGTTGCTGTTCTTTTCTTTTGCAGCGCGGGGTTAATACGGACAGCGGCAGCGTTTGCAGGGAGGCTTCGTTTGAAGGAATAAGCCAGTAAGTAAGAAAGAAAAAAAACAAAACAATCTCATGACAAAAGGAATGCGTTGCGCCTTTCTCTCGGCGGAGATGGAATCTCGAGAACGCCGCGTCACTCGGGACGGGCGCGATTATTTACGCAGCTTCCAAATAAAAAAGGATGATCCATTCGCAGAGAGAGGCGCTGCGAAGGCCCCCGCTGGCTTTGCAATAAAATATATTCATATCCCTTCGCCGTGAGGTAGCGATGTTTTATAATCTGCAGACAAATGCCAAAAATAAAAGCGGCTGTGGGATTTAAAGTCGGGCCGCGGGCTTTCTGAGCTTCCCGGGTCTATAAGGAAATGGGATCGGATTAAAGAGGACCAGTCAGAAAGTTTCGGAAGTAAAAGTTCTGCCTTAGAGAGACCATCGTGCGGTGTTGTCTGCTATTACCAGAAGGGCCTTAGGTCCCATTCACACTAAGCGACTTACTTTTTTGCAGCGGATTCGCGCGGACAGGATAGCGCGACTTTCGGGGCGACGTTCCAGCGGCGGTAGCGCGACCTTCACTGTCGGGCTGCATAAAAAATAGAAAAATCGCGCATAATACGCCGAAAAAAGGGTCCGGTAGAAGCGATCCGCTACCGCGACGAGCGACATGGAGCTGTACATTAAGACAGCTCCATTGAAAATCATTGGCCGGCGACTTCTCGCGATATCGCGCGGCAAAAATGCGCGATATCGCGGCTGAAATCGCGCGGTAAGTCGCTTAGTGTGAATGGGGCTATATGGTGCGCCCCTCTTTCCTTAAATCAGGGATAAGTCCCAACCACTCAGATCCTCATGTCATCTGAGGTCACCTCTGTGGCCCATAAGGGCGGCAATCACACGTCGATGTTTGAGCCTGATGAAGGGACCCTGCGTGGCCCCGAAAGCACTTTTGACGATTTGTTCAATAAAATGAACACTTGGCGATCCTGGAAGGATTTTTTCGGTGTGCTGGTGACATTCTTCACGACCAGCCAATCACACAAGGTCACATGATGATTGTCAAAGACCTTGATAGTCACCAAGCCAAATTTTAAGTAATAAATGAGAGCAGAGCAGGGGTAGGCAGCCTTGGCACTCCAGCTGCTGTGGAACTACAAATCCCATGAGGCATGGCAAGACTGACAGCCACAAGCATGACTCCCAGAGGCAGAGGCATGCTGAAATTTATTGCATCACCACAGCTGGGGTAGCAAGGTTGCCCACCCCTGTGATAGTCATCACCCACTGAGCCGATTGGACCTCATTGGGCAACAGTCTCTTGTCAGGCACACGTGTAGAACTCCTGCAGACCGTTCTGATTGATCAGATAGGCTGCAAATGTTCATCAGATCGCTCGTGAGTCAGGTAGCATGTCAAGTCCCTGGTCCCGCCTCTAAAAGTAGAACCATGAGCTCCTGGCTGACCAAACATAGCCACCTATGCTCGTCTCCCGCTGAGAAGACATTTCATGATAGTTGCGGGGATTCTAACACATCTTCATGTTATTGCCGGCTGCGGGGCCCCATTTGCTTGAACGGCACCCTCCAAACAATCCCTGATAGCGTTTTATTCCAACTCTGAGGTGTCATTGGATGGAGTTTGATCGGTTCTGGGCGTGTGTATATACATGATCCTGGCAGGCTTATATGTTGATATGATATTCTCTTTATAGAGGAAACAGCGGGAGATCTCTGAGCGCGCTGCTCCTCAGCCGAGGTGTTCCAGGAAGGGAGCTGTCCACGGTGCTGAAACTCATCCCAGAGAGACATATCAGAGGCCTTCCTTTTGGTTTGGGTGGGACTCTTGGGGGCCATTCATGACCACTATGATAACACATGCACGTTGAATGTGCGTTCACTCACCTTATAGTTCTAGCCGACCTGTGACAATGAGACTGTCACAGGTCGGCTCAGTAGATCGGGAAGTGAGCGAACTCATACCGGCGCTCCCTCCCCTCTCGATCCTGTCACGGCTCTCTGCCGTGACAGGTAAGGATTGGATTCCCCCCTCCCCGCTCTGATCCGCCAGCGCTGACTGGCGGAACGGACGGGGGAGGGGGCGGGTACAGCTGGCTCTGCCTCTAGATAGGCAGAGCCAGCTGTCACTCACGCAGCTGGGCGGATCCAGACAGCATTGTCGGGATCCGCTTCAGCTGCGGCATCTCAGTATACCGCGAGCTGTAGCTTTTTATATACTGAGCCTAGGGTGACGGGAGGACGCTAGTTTGTGTCCTCCCGTTACCCTAAGGAGAACTATGGGGAAAAGCCCTAACCCCATAGTTCTCCTTTAACACACGCAGGTTGAATGTCCTTTATTCTGCGTTGTATGTGTGTTGTAACGTACCCCAGCTGCAGAGCATTGCATTAAACAGTGCGGCATGCAGCACTTTTGGTGCATTGTAGACTGCAGACTGCGTTCTTCAAGGGACTGAACGATTGGATATGCTGCAAATCCTCGTCTGTCCCCCCTTTGTTCCCTCATTAGCAGTACAGGTGAAACTCGAATAATTAGAATATTGTGCAAAGTTCATTTATTTCACTAATGCAACTTATGCGGTGAAACTAATATATGAGAGAGACTCATTACATGCAAAGCGAGATAGTTCCAGCCGTGATTTGTCATCATTGTGATGATTATGGCTTACAGCTCATGAAAACCCCAAGAACCCCAAATCCACAACCTCAGAAAAGTAGATTATTACATGCAATCAATAAAACAAGGATTGTACATAGAACAATATCGGACCTCTGAAAAGTACAAGCATGCATATGTACTCAGCACTTGGTTTGGGCCCCTTTTGCAGCACTTACTGCAATTACTTTTGCACGATATTCTAATTATTCGAGTTTCACCTGTATATAAAATCCCTGGCCGTGCCTCTGAAAGCATAACCGGGAATGCTTGGCCTGCCTCACACTGACGCCTCTGCTCGTCTCTACCTTTCCATGACGGTTGCATCGCGCCCGTATATCCCCCTGTCACGCCTTGCCTTAAATCATCCAACGTCTGCGCGCTCGCATCCTAAAGCTCTCGCAAAGCAACGTTTTCAAAGGCCAGAATTCTCTTTTTTGTTTTTTTTTCCCTAGATATCATCCCATTATTGTGATCTACAGCGTCGCCGGCGAGTCAATCACCTTCCCGAGCAGCGGGAGATGTAACAATGCTTCACACGCTGTCAGAATAAATACATAAGAATCAAAAGAGAAGCCGCGCACACCGGGCCCGTGCTGTATTCTTCAATATGTAGAACGGTGACTTGTGACCACAGTCGCGTGCTGACAGTCCTATAAATATGTATTGGTGGTGCGCGGTCTGTACATAGAGGGGGAAGGATGCGGATGGCGGCTCCAGAGCAGCTCCGGCTTGATGATTAGGAGAGCTCTGAGGATGCAAAGATGGGGGGGAGGGGGGGTTCAGGGACACAAAGACTCTGCCAATTTGC